CTCCCTTTTATATGCTGAGCCAACTTAATTACTGTAAAATGTACAATTACTATGGTTTGCGCTATGGAAAAAATAGAATTTTCACATGCCACTTGTAATTATCACAGTTGTATGTAGGAATTTTATAATTATATAACGTTGTTATTCGACATTCGAAAGAGATTCAAGTACGTTTCTCTGTCGAGAAAGGAACGAATAATAAAGAAAAAATTGTTTGAAAAGATACGTAGCAATTTGTAACCTACGAACGTTTAAACGTGGTGAAAGAAACGCGTCGGCGGTGCAGTGTTGCCAGCACGGAAGTATTCGACGACGCTATTGCCAGTTTGCTCCCTCCAAAACCGCGCGTGCATTGGCAGCATTGTTTTTTGGTAGTTTACAAATAAAATGGCCGATATATGAGGCTATTTTGTATGGACAATAAAATATGCAATTCTGTAAAATTAATGACCATCGGCTGCTCGTGTATGTACATCAGAGTATAGGTTCAGTGCCGCGAAATACGAGAAAAGAAAGTGAAGTGTAAGTGAACGCGTGGGAGTGCGGTGAGAAGAAGGTGGAGGTTGTCTTTCAAGAACCGTGGACGCCGCGGGTCCGAACACCAAAACGAAGAATAACTTATGAACTCAGATATATTGGAAAATCAACCGACCACTGTATTTTTTTCATTGGCGCGCGGTGGCGCGGTGATAACTACACGAGAACGGCTCTAGATTTACGGAACTTGGTTTACAGCGCACAGGCCCCCTCTGCCGCCTGCTCCAATTCTTCAAACACTCTCACCTCACCTAAACACTGTGTGTTCCTAAGCCTGACAAAACAATACTTGGGAACACTCCAAATATTCAATTGTACTTTATGTCACATATGTCAAATGCATCGTGCTGATCATCTCGTATTCTTTATTTTATGTATCCTGATTATTTACAGTTCTCCATTAATATCTAGGGGATCAAATATCATAGCAACTTAGAGCTGCTTCAGGCTCCCAAGATATGATTCCCAATTTTGAAAATTACAGCTGAGATACTGGAGTGTGACGGGTACGTTTATTTAGAACCTTTCAAAATATTTCCCGCCGACCAGTTTGTTGTAGTGGAAAGAAATGGTGCAGATAATACGTTGACAGAGACGGAGGGGCCTACAAGCAGTGCGTCCAGCCAGCCCACCCCCTCCGTTACTCCTCTGTCAAACATGTGCACCACGCCTGGCAACGTGGGCACAGGATTTGGGTATGCTTGGTCCTTTGGTGGACCTGGAGCAGAAACCCGAGAAAATGCACAGGGTGAACTTACTACAAACATTAGTTATGCTGTGAATAATAATCAGGACCAAGGATCCAGTCAGAAGATACAGGTTGACATCAAACCAACTAAAGTTGCCAATAGCACACATCGTAGGCCGATGTTCACTATGAATGAAACTTGTCAACAGACCCCAACAACCCATCATACAGCTGGAGCTCATAATCAAACGCATGGCACACATGTACGTACTAAGAAGCATCATGATGTATTTTCATTAACGTGTGACAAGGGAGGTTGTAATTGTGATGCAGCACATGCAACACCGCCGCCATCTCTCTTTTCAAATACTTTAGTTTTTACTACAGCTGACAAACACGCCATGAGTAAGCATTTCATGACACCTATTGGACCACTACAACTAACGGCAGAAGAGTGCAATGAAATTTTAATGAAAAGAGCGGCAGCTGCTTCGAACCAAGCCAATGTAAACAATGTAGCAACAAGTCAGACAGATAGCACGGCTCATTTTGGACATGTTTTAACACATGTAAATACCACTCAAATTGAAACAAAGGTCAAGCAACAAGATATGGGAAGTCAAGTTAGAGTACCAAAAGAAAGGCCATATTCTTGTTCGGAATGTGGAAAGTCATTCCTTTTGAAACACCACCTTACGACACATGCAAGAGTACATACAGGAGAACGACCTCATGTATGCGTTCATTGCGGCAAAAGTTTTGCACACAAACATTGTCTTCATACTCACTTGCTACTTCATAGTGCCGATCGACCATACCAATGCAGAGAATGTAAAAAGTCTTTTACACTAAAACATCACCTTGTAACGCACACGCGAGTACATACGAGAGATCGACCATTTGTTTGTCAAGAGTGCGGAAGATCATTCCCATTGAAACGTCATTTAGTAACGCATAGTAAATTCCACTCAGGAGAGAGACCTTTCGTTTGCGAAGAATGTGGGGAATCATTTTCTCAGAAGGATCATTTGACAATGCATTCGCGCTTCCATGGCAGTTTACATCCATTTGTTTGTCACGATTGTGGAGCAACCTTCCAAAGGAAGTTTGAATTAGTGAATCATGGTCGTTTGCACGGCAGAGTTCCACATTCGTGTACTGTTTGTGGGAAAGAATTTCTTCAAAAGAGAACACTTCTAGCGCACATGCGTTTACATACAGGAGAAACTCCATTTGCCTGTACTGTTTGTGGGGAAGCATTTCCTCGGAAAACGGACCTGGTGACGCACTCAAAAATACATAACAATAATACGAATACAGATGAAAAATCCCTTATGTGCAGGTAAGCAATAATTGCAATAGTTTAAATGCGCATTCTAATAGTTCCTGCGTGTTAAAGTTACTTGCGTATTTTAAATTTTATGCTCCAGGGAATGTGGATTGGACTTTCCAAACAGAGAAGCTCTTACATTGCACTTAAGGTTACATTCTGGTGATCGTACTCTTGTTACGGATCTGTGTGGGTTAGCAGCTGCGTTCCAACAAACTCCTGGACATTTTCTGACACCGAATACCCCTGGAACTCATCAGGTATTATCAATAGTAGTATAATATGTGAAACGCGTATGTTGCAATCAAAGGATTTACAGATGAATGGTCCCATCGGAAATCCCGGTGTCAGTCATATGCATGGCGCGACGCAAACATCACCACCTGTAGGAACAGGTCCGAAACCAAAACCACATGTTTGTCCCGATTGTGGTCGTGGTTTCGCGCAGAAGCATGGTTTATCTCAGCATCAAAGACGCCATACGGATGGTAGCTGCCACATAAGATCGCACGTGTGCGATAAATGTGGGAAAGCGTTCTATCAGAAGAATCATTTGTTATTACATCAACGCCAACACATGGATCCCCCTCCCAGTATACTTCGGCAACAACAGAGACAAGCTGCGCAAGCTGCTGCACAGCAAGCACAACAACAACAGCAGCAACAGCAGCAGCAGCAGCAAGCCCAGCAACAACAGGTACAACAACAACAAGTGCAGCAGCAGCAGCAACAAGTGCAACAACAAGTGCAACAGCAGCAGCAGCAACCTCAACAGCAACAAACAACATGCACTGTAGATACAAAAACAATACAACTTCAAGCGATACAACAAGTACAACAACAAGTTCAACAACAGGTACAGCAGCAGCAACAACAGCAGCAACAACAGCAACAACAACAACAACAAGCGTGCTCTGTGGACACTAAAGCAATACAATTAAATGTCACTATGTGAGACGATACAGAAAGTGGGGATTGGTCGATCCCTGGAACAATAGCACTCTCAAATGCGCACCCTGCTGCCACCCTCTGCACGCACTTCTCTTGTACTAACATTACACGTTAGATATATTTATTATCTCTAGAATCGAATACGAAGTAATCAATTTTATTACAAGAGTATATATACAAAGTATACATATTATATTCTAAATATGTAAGGCTTGTAACAAGAAAATAAAAGTAACCATATATTAGTGTTTTACATATACTTTATATATAATTTACTCTAGATATGTAAAATGAAACTAAACAAATTAGTTGCCTTAACGAAATGAAGAATTTTAATGAATATATTAACTATTGTTTGGTGATCTTCTTTTTTCATTTACTTTTAATTAGTAGGACATCACTTTATAAGAAAATACATATTGAATAAACAAACGTAAAAAAATAAGTTTTTTATGTACTACTGCTTTGTTGTTATCCTTCATGCTGCGCTTATATGGTGGAAGTCGAGAGAAATGTTGGTGGTGTGAATGATCGATAAAAAAAAAAAAAAATAAATATGTAGAATGTATCAAGAAAGAGGAAGAGGGTGGCAGACATAGCGCATTTACGGAGCATTTAAAACTGTAGGTCTGCCCAAGAGAAAAGAAAAAAAAAAAAGAAAGATGAATGGTGTCTTTAAATGTATTTTTTATGTTATAGCAATTCGCGAAATTTGTTTAATGAATTCTAGGAAATTAAGAGCGTAAGATGAAAATTTATATTCCATTAAATGGATAGTTATTAACTTCATCGATTCGAGGGATTCGAACGAAGTTCGAGTCGTTAAAATTGTTTTTTTTTTTTTTTTTTTTTCTTTTATATGATTAGCATACGTTTTGATTTCTTAAACTTCTGTACTTTCTTATGTTCTCGACTTCGACTTTTTTTTTATTTTATAATACCAAAATGTGTGTAAAAGCCATTCACATGTTCTTACAAAAATCATCCAGCATAGTAAACTTTTGTAATAGTTTTGTCAGAGATATGTAATAGCTAATAGAATTGCGCAAAGAAATGAAAGAAGTAATAAAGGTAGCTTTCCTACATAGTTTTAACATACATATATATTTTTTCCAAACAAATGACAATGAATGCAATGCATTTCTTCATGATCTTTCATGAAACTGGGATACCTAAATGAAAAGATAGACCTAAATGAAAATCTAATTTAGATGGGAAGAAAGATTGTTAAACGACGAAATATTGTAAAAACCGAGCTTCAATGTGCCTTTTTTTTCGTAATCGCGAGTAAAATACCTTTCCTTTTTCTGCATCCCTGTTTCTATTCGCGCGCAAATTTATCTTGTTAAAGTGAACATCTCGCCCACACACGCATTAAAATACATGTATGGACTACCCGAAACAATCAGTATTCGTATTTTCTCGATACGAGCATGTGGTACATGTGTGTGCGTGTAGGATTAAAATTTTCATTCGTTTCATTTGTGCGGTACGACAAATTTCATTCAAATTGTCGAGTTATAACAAAGTTTCATTTGTTCGTGCGTTCAAATGTCACCAAAGTTTCCCGCGTTTCGTTCAGTAACATAGTCAGGGAGAAAAGAAAGGTGGGGAAAAATGGGTAATGCGCGCTTGTTCGTAGGCGGTCTCTGACGGTGATGTCCGGAAACAGGTAAATGCAAATGGCGCATGCGCACAGGTCATCGTATATCGTCCCGCCTGCGGACGAACCGAAATAAATCGAACGACGCTGAGCCGATCAGCAGTACGGTGCTCGCTGGATGCGACTGTTTCGCGTTAGTGATGATCAAAACGAGTTGTCGTCGTCGTTATTTGTGGCATTTCGCGAAGACGAAGAAGCCGTGATCGGTGATCAAAAGTTCGAGACGGAGAAGAGACCGAGGACACACATCGTCGCTCGTTGCCGCGGCCACGGATGCATATGGAGGTGCGTAAACCCTTGTTTCGATGCACCCTCTTTGCACGCGTTTTTCCTTTGCTTCGACAACATTGCCCCATATCCACCTTAGAGTCACTGCCATTTTCCTACGGCTCGTTGTGTTTCACAAAACGCACGATTTTTCGTACACGGACGAAACGTATTCCCGGACAATGGAAAGTGCAATAGTCGTATTTATTGTATCACTTGAAAATTGTTATTCGACGATATTTCGGCGTCAAATCGGAGGATCGTTGTTCGCGTGAACGTTGCCGTCTCTTTCGTCTTGCCCCTGAATTTCCGCGATTAATCGTACGTTTTGTTTCACGATTCGAGGGAACGTCCATGCTGTTTTCATTCGTTCGGTCTGCATCTGAAACGACGCAATATTATCCTCTCTTTCTTAACCGTGTTTGTTTGCCGTACGATCGTTCTGTGTAATTGGAAGAGCTTCGTATTGAATCGTGCAGACGACGTTTACGAATTTTGCACGACAATGAACTCTCCCTTGGAAACAGGCCGACGTTGAAAAGTACGTGCGCATACGGCATTGGACTTTGTGTACGCTCTCAGCTGACGGGGGCCTGTCAGCTGCCTTCCACGAGAAGATCAGGGCCGTCGCTTTGCGTGGTGGCGTGTTCTGCGTCGATTTTTCCCGTTAGTTCGTTCCCGTGAAATTTCACGATTCTCGCTCGTCCTGTTTTCTTCCCCTTGCTCAGGGGCAAAACAGCACAATCCAGTTAGGATTTTTCTTCGCTTAGTAACAGTGCATACGATCTGCCATATCGAGTAGCTCTGTCGTCACGTCCGCACGTGCACATAGAGTAAGAATCTATTCCATTGTTTGACTGATCGTCTTACCTGCACGGATTCTAACCTCGAACGTACCGTTCCACTTCCGCCAGTGTATTTCGTGCACGTGTGGCCCCTTTCACAAATATATTTCCTTTATTATACTTTCTTCTTATCTCCCGAATTTTTTTCGAATTTGTTTGTCAACTTATTGAATGTATCAACGGCATCGCAACAGCGCGCGTCTCTGCCGTGATAATTTTGCTGATACCTACACCAAGGCAATGTCACCAAGATAATACGCGCTCTCTCTTGTTTTGTACACATTCACAGCTGATTCACCCGCGCCGCGTCGTTAAAACGTTCGAGTTATTATCTTTCGATACATCTGACGGCGTACCTTCTTATGACGTTTCTTGCCTTCTCGCTGCCGGTGTATGTGTACAGAATGGCTTCGATCGCTCTGAAAAAAGCCTACACGATGTGTCCAGCATAGAACCGGTGGTAAAGGCTAAGTTGATGTAGAGGGAATTGACGTAACGCTTTACTTCATGCCTGCTGTGTGTTTCCACACCCAA